GGGGCGCGCACGCCGCCGCTAGCATCATACACCGGCTCGAGTCGCAGGCGGACGGCGACGACGTCCGCGACAGGGTGCGCCGCATGGAGCGCGAGAAGCCCGGCGCGTTGGCGAAGGGCGCCATGCCCGCCGGCGCGCTGGACGGCCGCCGCGCCGCGTTCGAGAGGGATAAGGCCGAGGCTACCGCGCTGGTGAGGGGCAAGGTCGCCGCGTTTGCGGGTGACGAGGAGCCGCGGAAGGCTCCGGCGCGCGGGGGAAGGGACAAGACGGTGGAGAAGGCCCGGGGGGGCGAGGAGGACCAGTCGGCGAAGGGCGACCGGCGCGATGAAGAGGCGGGCGATGAAGAGGCGGCGGTGAAGAAACCGGTGGGGCTGGGCCAGAGGTTTGCAATGTTTGAGGGCGGGACGGCGGCCGCGGAGAACGGCGCGGCTCACGTGAAGGTCAAGGCAAAGGTAGACGAGGGGGACAGGCCTGTTGCGAAGGCAGTGGCGAAGGCGGTAGGGAAAGTCCCTGCGGCTAGCGGGGACGGCGGCACGGTTAAAGGAAAGACGAGTACCAGCGAGGCGGGGGTGGTGCAGGAGCTGCGGGAGGTAAAGAAGCAGAACGAGGAGCTGCTTAAGCGGCTGGTTGAGCTAACCACCGCGTTCAAGCGGCTGGAGAAGAACCGGGAAGCGTTGCAGGGTAGACTGGCCAAGCTGGAGAAAAAGTGAAGCTCGCGCGACATTGCCAACATAACATTAACTGATGAACCTATGAACTTTAAAAAAACCCACATTAGATCGAGATACAGATGCACCCGCACCCGCCACGCCTCTCTTCCGCAGCGTCATCATAACCCATCTCACCATGGCCTTCATCCTCACGCCCGCCTCGCCTCTTGCCCCCTTCCCGTCCCGCCGCCCCCTCGTCACGCGCACAGCCACCCGCCATCTCCTCCCGCGCCACCCGCGCCCGTGCCGTTTGCCGTCGCTGCGCATGTCTGTTACAGTCGGCTCCCCCGCCGTGGACTTCTCGCTCCCCACCTCCGGCGGCGGCACGCTCTCGGCCGCCGACCTGCAGGCCAAGGCCGAGTTCGTCATCATCTACTTCTACCCGCGCGACGCCACCCCCGGCTGCACCACGGAGGCCAAGGACTTCCGAGACCTGGCCCCGCAGCTGGAACAACTCAACGCCACCGTCGTCGGCGTCAGCAGGGACTCCGTCGAGAGCCACGACGCTTTCGTCAAGGATCTCGACCTCAACTTTCCGCTCATTACCGATGACGGAACCCTCACCGAGGGCTACGGCGTGTGGAAGGTATGCTTCTCATTGCGTTGCGAGCGCCCACGTCCCCGATCCAATGCTAACCGCGCTGTGTTGTGTTGCGTTTTCGGTGCCCATGCACTAGCTGCGCAAGCTCGGCGACAAGGAGATGATGATCGTCGAGCGCTCGACATTCATCCTCCGCGGCGGCAAGGTGGTGAAAGAGTGGCGCGGCGTCAAGTCGACCGGCCATGCCGCCGCGGTCGTAGAATCCCTCAAGTCTTTGTGACGTGCGAAAATGCACACCACAGTAAACCCAACCGAAAATTTCTCGCGCGAAAATCCCGTCCGAAACCGGCCTCATCCCACACCTGCGGCGGCCAGGTATCCGACGGCCCTCCCCCCCTCCTCCGTTCCTAACGACGTCGCCCACCCCCCCTCCCCCGTCCCCCGGCCCGGACCTCAATGTCCGCCCCGCTTCCGCGCGCGCTCGCCGCCGTGGCGCTGCTCTCCCGGCGGCTGCGCTGCCCCTCTTGCGAGGAGTTCCTCGCCGCGCCGCACCGCGTCGCCGCCTGCGGGCACGTCGTGTGCGGTCGCTGCGCGGCCCGCGCGAGGGACGTCGCGAAATGCCCGCTGCTTGCATGCGGCCTGCCGACAACGCCGGCCGAGGTGCGCCGCCACCGCGATGTGTGCGCCCTCTCCGAGGCTGTGGCTGCGTTGGCCGCGTTTGCGGACGGGTGGAACAGCATGCCGTGCGCGGTTCGGGTTAGAGTGAGACAGGAGAGGGAGGCGCGGCCTGTGCCGCTCACGATAAGGGTCAGGGAGCCTGCCGTCCAGCCCGAAGAAAACGGAAGGGGAGTGGGGGAACGGGCGGTGCAGCTTCGTTTGCGGGTCCGCCCACCGCCGACGGCTACGCGGAAGAGACCGAGGACCCGCCGTTCACCGACGAGTGTCCTTCTCCAGATTAAGCAAGGTGCGCAGGACGTACCCATTCCGGGTAACGACATCGCCCAGGGGAAGGAAAATCATGCCGGGTCGTCGCAGTCAGGTCGCCATGCTAGCCGTACGATAGCGACTGGCCCATCTCCATACGCAAGACCTGCAAAGAGGCCAAAGGCAGGTGCCAAAACCACCGAGCCCTCGCAGCTGCAGTTTCAAAAAGAAATCGATTTCATGCATGGACGAGATGCCGGTCCCCGTGGCCAAAAGGAAGTGGTCGGAGGTGCAAGCTTTCGCAAACGCAATGGTCTCCCAGAACCTGCGCAAGCAGCCCAGTATTTCTCTGTGGACTCTAAGACGGGGGTTGCAGACGTGCTTAATGATGCTAGTGGCCTTGGGCAGTCTACAACGAATGCAGCTTGCTCGCTAGACGCGAATACTGTTTTCACTTTACCGACTACCGATAGCTCCAAAACTGAGAGACCACGTCTACTCTCTGCAGGGAATGAAGTTGCAAGTGTACAAGGCTCGCGTGCCAGCCCTTCGCTTGAGAAGACCAGTGCTCGAAAGGCAACTGGGCGGTGCGCGTATGATCCAAATTTTCAATGCGAAGAAATGGGGAAGATCGCAGGCGAAGCAAAGCGACAGGAAGGCATTCGAAACAGTGTCGACTGTCCGCAGAATGAATCGCATGCAGCTGGTATCAAAGGCAAGCCGCTCTTAACTGATGAAGAGATATCGCCGTTGTCGTTTAAAAAAGTTTGGCCGCCAGTCGCGGCATCTGAACGAACAGATCGTCGACTTAGCTTTACAGATGGCGATGGCGACATGGTCGAAAAATGCGCAAAGAGGATCAGGGACGGTGAAACGATTGGAAGTTTCACTGTATGTCTAACAGGGTTGTCGCGAGGGGATCAGCAGCTCGAACTCGCTGAAGAGATGATGGCATGCCTTGGGGGCGAGATACTTGAGGACATGGGCTGCGACGAAATTCCGCGCTGTGTGGTAACACTGTTTGATATTAGTGGCAATGTGAAGAACCGGACAATGCTGCTGCACGAGGCAGTAGTGCGACGTGTGCCCGTGGTGAATATTGAGTGGCTGGTGACAAGTTTTCTATACGGAGGTTGGGCGCAGACAGCCCCTTTTCAGGCGCGGATCAACTACCCTACTGAGGGCAAGGGGGTGTTTGATGGGGTGCTGGCAAGCTTTGACCGCGGGTTCAGCGGGGCGAATGCTCTCGCGTTGGTGCGAAAGGCAGGGGATGACATCCGGCGGTTGGTGCGCGCAGGCGGGGCGGTGGTAGCGGAGACAAAGGATGTGGCCGGTCTGCTGTCACAACACTCGCGGTTCTCGTTGCATGTGCATGTGGCGTGCGATTTTGGAGAAAATAGCAGCGTGGGGGGTGGGCAAGTCTGTGCGGAAGAGATGGAGTTGCTTCGGTGCTCCCAAAACACGGTTGGGACGAGGGTCGTGAGCATGGGATGGATTTCGGAATGCATCTTTTCGGGGATGTGCCCACCAGCAACCAACGACAAGTCGGAATCCATGAGCGCTTTCTCCGAGTACTCTTTGTCGGATAGTGAGAGAACGTGCGCGCCCCCGTCCACTACAAGATCGGAGGGCGAGGCAGTGCGGTAGCGGTGCGATGCCCAATTCAGGATGACAGAGATAGAGATAGAGGCAGAGAAAGTAGTTAAAGTGTTGTCACAGTTACACGACGATACAGCGCACCGCTAGTCCCCTGCGCGATACCCGACGGGCGGCCAGGTCACTGGGTCGTAGCCCGAGCCTCCTGTGGGGTTGCACCGCGCGACGCGCCAGGCGGAGAGAACGAACCCCCTCCACGCGCCGTACGTGGTGATGGCCTCGACCATGTAGGCCGAGCAGGACGGGACGAAGCGGCAGTTGGGGGGCATGTTGCCCGTGATCTCGTTGCGGTAAAAGCTCAGTACCCCGAGCATGGCTCCCGACGCAAGCTTGGCCAGCCCCTTCTCGGCGCGCACGCACACCAGGCAGGCCAGCGTCGCTCGACGACGACGGGGAGAGGAGTAGCGCGCTGGCATGGTGCAGAGGTGGGAAAGGGACGAGCTGCTGTCTTAAGAGCATCCCCACCAGTGAGGCTAAAGTTGTAAAAAAACGAATTTTTACAACTTTAATATTTTACACCCCTCTTCACTACTCCCACCGTTTCGAAAAGATGCATTACTTTTTACATCGAGATAAATTCGGGTTGTAAAAATCGAGAATATAGCACCAAAATTTAGAACTATGCATTTGAGGTGGCAAACGCTGATTGGTTCAAATTCCATTTTCCCGCGAAGTCAAAGTTGGTTGAAGGGGTCTTGAAGTTGAGCCTCTCTCTCCAGTGGAGAGGCGAGTCTCCACCAACACTCCTCCCCATCCTGTTCATGTCTGCACCAAACGTAAGTTTGTCTGGCAGCCACCGTACGTCTTTCGAAGGGACAGCCGTCACTAGCAGTTGCGCACCTCGCTCTCGTTTTGGGTTGGGCTCGAGATTTGGCTTTTCCCCCGGATAAGAGCCTTTGTGTTTTGGGGGCTCACTGTCGCTGTCCGAAGACAAAACATCCTCAACAATATCGAGAATGTCGTCCTCCACGAAGTCAGAGATGCCAATGGTACTCCGTGGAGGTTGTAAAGGCGTTTGCATCGGACTTCAGTGAGTAGGAGCATGCACTTCACAAGTAGGAGGGTGCGGTTTTTTGCCGGTGGGGTTGACCTGCAGGTCAATGCAGTTCTCGGCAAGGTCTTAAAAAAGCAAAGGTGTATAATAGCGAGAGGCCAATCAAGGCTCGCCAAGTTTCTAAAATATTTAGCACTTTACACTCGCCGGTGGGGATGCTCTAAAGGAGGTGGCTCAACCCGTGACGAGAGAATTTTGAAGGGGAGACCTGGGGAAATGATTCGAGAACACGTGTCACAATATGACGTGGCCACGTGTGTAATCATATCATACCGTCGTACTATTTGAATTTCAAACTTCGCGCCAACTGGGACAGCATTGCCAGAACAGCATACAAACCCGGCACACCGCCAGCTGCTCTCCCTTAGTCCCTACCCGCCCTTCCGTAGTGCCATCAACCATCCTCCACGGCATCCGTGCGCCTTCCCTGCCCGACCTCTTTCGCTCTCGCGAGGTCGAAATCTCTAGTCGCCATGCCGCTAGACCTGACGAGCCCCGAGGCGCAGGAAGTCCTGTCGCTGTCGCAGACGAAAGCGGGCAAGCTTCTGACGGCAGCAGTGCGCGAATCGCAAGGGCGCACGCGCGTGTCATGGGCGCCCGACAGACGCCCGGCGTGGTGGAAAAAGCGCATGGTGCTCACGATGCCGGGCGGCGAGCGCGTCACCACGCTCCCGTTCGGGTCGAAGTACAAGATGAATTGGGGCCTCACGGAAACCCAGGTCACGTACTTGATGTACCTTTTTAGGAACGACCTCGGCGCGATTGGGGAGGAAGCGGCGGAGGGGGAGGTGCCGCAGGCGGTCGAGTCGCCGAAATTGGTCAAGGTTCGCGACGAAGAAGAGCGGAGCGAGGTCGTGGAGGTGCCGCAGGCGGAACGACCTCGGAGGCGCAATGTGAGTAAGCGCAAGCCGCCGAATATGAACAGGGAGCCCGTCTCGCGGAGGCGGAAGGCTGAATCTTCCCTTACCCATCCCATGAATAAGCAGGGCGACACACCTGCACACCAACTCGTCTGCGAGACGCCTTCTGCAGCAGAGTCTGTGGAAGAGGTCAACAAGAACACTAGACGTCGTAAACGAGTCGAGGATGTGGAGGACGTAATTTTTGTTCAGGAGGCTGAGGTGGCATCTAGGACACGCTCGCGTCGGGCGAAAGCGAAACCGCCTCTGCAACCGGTGCGTCGGAAATATCCGAGGCGGGGCAAGGCCCAGCCGGTTGTCGCCATCGTCATTTCTGATGACAAAGACGACAGTGCGTCTACGGGGCCGGAATCTCCAGGAGCGCCTGCTTCGCGGGGGCGCGTTGCTTTTGATGCGTGTGATATTGCCGACGAGGAGGTGGATGGGGAGGGAGGCGAACGCGCGAAAGAGGAGCAGGATGTCGAAAAAGTGGATCGTGAAAGAGAGAATGCAGGTCGCGTTGCTGCCATTGTCGCCGAGCAAGCCAAGTTCAACAAGAACGTGAAAAAGGCGCTCGCCGAGTTCAGACAGAAGGCAAAGCGCAAGCGTTTGAGCATGGCACGAAACCATGAGAAGCAACAAACCGCACTTGTGAGTGCGTTGGGTGTCATCAAATTGAAAAACTATCCGCAGAGAGTGTTGGATATGGCATTTTCTGAATACGTGACGAAATACGGTGCCGATGCGCGCAAACTGCTGATGAACGATACGTCTCGCCATGTGCGACTAGTGCTCGACGAAGAAGACATGAGCGACGAGCCGCATCCCTTTGCACACCCCGCCAGAACGCCACATGATCAAGCTCGTCGTGACGAAGTGACAGCGACTGCACGGAAGGCCAAACGGGCGTTTCGGGAGCAGCAAAAAGAGTTTGCAGTGCCGAAGACGTCCATGCGGACGAGGCCGCAAAGGTCGGCGGCGAAGACCGCGACCACGCGGACGAAGGCAATATTTCAAGGAAGTGCGATTCGACGACCGGCACCGCAACACGTGGGTCGGACGGGTCGGGGATCAAGGCTGCCACCGGTGATGGCGACACCGGCTGTGAAACAGGCGTACGCGAGCCGGACGGAGATCATGAATATGCTTGTGGCATCGATTCAGAAGCAGCCGGACCCACAGGCCGCGATGAGGGAGCTGGAAGAGGACCCCACTCGGCTGGTCGCGGACGTGAAGGAGCGCTTGATGGGGGGGAATGCGGTACACAGGTGATGAGGTATGGACGACGGGTAGATTGTAGTGTTCTTCTGTGATGCGACGATGTGATGTCCAGGATTTTAATGAATATAGTTTTTTAGTGCGGTTGCGGGACGAATCCGTCGACGGCCATATTTCGTGTGGCAGGGGGGAGCGTTACTCGAATGCCGTCAAGATCAGTGGTGACATTGACCTGGCATCCCAGGCGTGATCTGCGCGAGTGCAAAGCGCGGGGGGTTACAAAAGTCACCAAAACGAGTTAGCAACAGTGCGCAACGACGACGCGGACGCGGCCGGGAGGGGGAGGGGTGTTGTTACAAGAACGGACACTTCCGAGAGGCCGAACGCGAGGTCGAGCATATCGTTCTCGTCATCGCAGGGGTCATCGAGCGCGTCGAACGCGCTCTGCTCGAGGTAGACGTGGCACGTGGAGCATGCGAGGCTGCCCTCGCACGCGCCCTCGAGGTCTACGGCGTTCGCGTGTGCGATCTGGAGCAGCGACAAGCCGGGCTTTGCGGTGACGACACGCTCCGCGCCCTCGCGGTCGACGAACGTGACGGTGACCTGCGCGGCCGGGTCGTCGTCGTT